TGCTGGCTGCCTAACCAATGACCAGCTCCCTCATCCTTCTGTGTCAAAGAAGAGCCCACCTCTCCTGACGGCCAGAAAGTGCTGGATCCTTGCTTTTGAGCTTTCCTAGCAGCGAGGGGTGTTCGTGGAAATCAATCTGGGCTAATGACATGTAAAGGAAAGTTTGCTGTGTTTGGAGGAGACTTCCAGAAAATATGCCTCCTTGCTCCATGATAAAAATGCTGTTGTTTAGTCGTTAAGTCATGTCCAACTCTTTTGTGACCCCATGGACTGTAGCCCGCCAGGCTCCTCTGTCCATGGGATTTCCCAGGCAAGAACACTGGAGTGGGTTTCCATTTCCTCCTCCAGGGGATCTTTTTGACCCAGGGATCAAGTCCATGTATCCTGCATTGGCAGACAGATTCTTCACCACTGAGCACCAGGGACGCCCCATGATAAAAATAGACTTTATTTTAAAAAGCAGCATGCCTCCCTTTTCCTTTTTAATTGCTGCCTTAGGGCTGTGCATGGTGACGCAGTTTATGCACAAAGCTCATCAGCTCTGAGAGAAGGGAACATGTGGGTTCTTGACAGCACTGACCAGGTGCTGAGTCAGTACTGAAACCACCAGCTGCTGGACACCTTATTATTGAAAACAAGACCTCACCTTTAGCCCATGCTTAGTGATATCATCTGCTGTTTTTAGCTGAAAGCACCCTAACTGGTATGATAATTTAATAGGTTACCTGCTGCTTTGGTCACCCACGAGACTACTGGTTAAGTACAACTTCTATAGAGCATTGGTAATGTTGAGGATTGCTGGTAAGTCTGCACTGTTACCTCTGGGAACCCCACAAGGAAAACCAATGTTCTTGTTTTCCAGAGAGAAGGAGCTAAGAGGACTGAATCCTATCTCAGCTTCTTTCCAGCTCTGCAACCTTGGGCAAGTCCTTACCACCCTGGAAATCAGTGTGCTCATCTGTAATACGAAGCCAATCACCAGGACTTACTCCAGCTCCTGGGGAACTGAGTCAACTACTGCCGATAAGGCGCCCAGCCCAGGGCCTGGCGTGCGAGGAGAACGCAGTCCCCGCTGTGCTATTGTCTCTGTTCCCCCTCTGCGGGGCTGTGAGAGTGTCCAGTGGTTCTGAGTTGCTGGTAGACCGACTAGCTCTTGTTTTCCCTTACATGTTAAAGTAAGGACCACCCACCCGGACCTCTTGAGAAGGAAGAAGCAGTGTGACTCCTTCGAGAGGCTAGAGTGCTATGAGAGAGAAGTTCAACTTCCAAACCACCACTTAAGAAGCCTGTTCTACTCTGAGTCCTGTCGCTTTTCTCGTCTTATTTCTGGGAGTTGCTAAAAAAGGACTCAACACTAGAGCCATTCCTGGGTCTTCTCTGAGTCCCTGTCTTCTGTGATTCTTCATGGGTTTGTCCAGACCACTCCCAGGCCCGGGGCATCATTCACCATCACCTGGCGACTTCTGTGCCTTCCCCTCCTAGGAGCCTCATTTCTCACTCTGTAGACTCTGCCGGCCCCCATCACAGAGCCCTCCACGGGTTTGATTTCTTCCCCTCCTAAACTGTCTCTTCAGTCCCAACACATATCTTGCCTGTATCAAGTAGTAAATAAATCTTGGTTGAATGACAACATGTCCATAAGATTAAACTCAGTGGTAAGTAAACACTATTCTATGTGGTTGTATATTTGATCTAGCAAAGTTATTTCTATTTTTTTTGTGTGTGAGATAAACCTGATTGTTTATTAGCTCCACCAGAATTTTTTTTTTTCTGAGAAACTTCTGCTTTATTGCTGTAAGGATAATAGACTACCACTACTTTGCCAGAGTGAAATTGTGCAAAGAAACACAACATATGTTTAGCAACTGAAAAGTAACAATTAATAATTCATGAATTAGAGCAGAATTCATAATGGAAATTCAGAAGTGAGTGGTGATAAAGGCATTACAAGTTAAATTATGAGTAATGTAATCTAAAGGATACTTAGACGGAAACATATTGTCTTAATGTTAGGTATTAGAAAAAAATGAAACCTTAAGAAGCTACTTATTTAATACAAAAACTAAAAGTAAAGAACCATAGATCACTTCTCGGCCTTTTGGCTAAGATCAAGTGTAAGAACCCTAGAATAAACTGAAAGAAACTTTAAAAGATAAAATCAAGATAAAACCAAGAGTGATTAAATAGAAAATAAGGACATAGTAAGGATATTTGTTTTCAAAAGGGTAGTTCATTGAAAAGATCCATAAAATAGCTCTCTGACAAGATAGCTCAAGAAAGAAAAACACAAGTAAACAATATTTACAATGATAAAGGAAACACACGGCAGTTTTAGAGACATTTTAGCAATCATTAAACCATGGTGTGAAGAGTCTTATGACAATCATTTTGAAAACTAAGATGGGATTAAATTTTTCAGAAAAAATGAAAATTACCAAAATTGACTCAAGAAGAAATAGAAAACTTGAATTGACCATTCAGGAATTAAATTTGTGGTAAAAGAATCTGCCCACCCCTCATAAAAAAGCAAGATAATTTCAAGTTTTACCAAACCTAGGAATGCACAATTCTTACCTAATGTAAGCTTCTTTAGAGACTAGAAAGATGGAAACCAGCTGAGAGAAGGGGATTCCCAGGTGGCTCAGAGGCAAAGTATCCACCTGCCAAGCAGGAGATGTGGGTTTAGTCCCTGAGTGGGGAAGATCCCTTTCCCTGGGTGGGAAAGGGCAACCCACTCCAATATTCTCGCCTGGGAAATTCCATGCAGAGGAGCCTGGAGGGTTGCAGTCCATGGGGTCACAAAAGAGTTGGATAGGACCTAAGGACTAAACCACAGCAAAGTTAAGAGAAAGGGTTAATAAAAACCTTTTCTTCCTAGATGGATACATTTGGCCATGTTGTAACCCCGAACTCCTGATAAAGCTGAAAGAGAGCTCTGTTCCAGGCAATGTAACTTACAGTTAGGGAAACAAACAAAAAGCCCCATGATTGATAAACTGCATCATTCCTGGGAGGACTGTGGATAGACTATAAGTGCCTGGAATGATGCTATAATCCGGGCTTCCTGTGCAGAGCAATCTGTACCTGGGCTTGTCTCATGGAGATATAGAAGCTATGGCTACAGAACTGTTACAGCTAGCTATGTGAGTTCTTATTTCAGGTAAAAGTTCCTAAATCCACTCAGGTGGTCTCTCTCCCTTCACCTGACTTGTCACTGGGGTGATCTGAGAAGAGTCAGTGACTACTGTGTCGGCGACTGCCAAGACTCGCACCTGACAGAGATGTCCTGCTGAAAGGCGTGTTTGACCTGCAGGCTTCAAGTGTACCCTGTGGATTCAGCTCTAGAATCTAAAGATCCAGTTGAAAACTAAAACCACTGTCCGTGGATGTTGCAAGACCCAAATCATGAGGCCAGTCTAAACTTGATACCAAATAGAGGAGGATCAGAGTGGAAAGTATATTATTGGCAGTGCCACATTTGAACGAGGAGGCAAGCATCCTACTACCATTGTGAGCACACAACAGAGGTCTCACTTTTGTACTTGCATTTGGGCAGTTCTTTAATGTGGTCCATGGATACGGCACTGGATTCATGGAAAGACAATACTGTATTCTAACCCCTTATCTTCTCATCACTAAATAGAGGACTTTGATCAAGTCACAGTTTAGCTTCTTGAACCTCAGAAAACTGGGGATGATAATACCATTCTGGGAGGTTACTGTAGCAGTTCAATAAGATAAAGTAAGTGCAAGCTTGTTGCATCTTATAAATATGCTATAAATCATTCAACTAGGTTTGGCTGGTGGTTAATTCAGGCTGATGAATGGAGATAAAGTCGAAAGATGAAAATGCAAAAGGCCTGGGGAGAACAGAGTAAAGGGATAGATTTTGAGTAATTCTGTAAAAAGAAAGATGGTCATCTTGGAAAAAAAAACCCAAAGAATTTCCAGACCAAGAAAAGGGCATTTACTTAAGTTGACTTGCTGGGAGCCAAGGGCTTTACACAGTTGTAATGGTCTGTTGTCCATTTCTGAGCATAGCTGTAAGCAGCTTGTCCCTGGGAGGGGACAGGAGCCAGTGCATGGCCATGAAGTCTACACTGGATTCTATACCTCCTGAAGCCAGAGTGAAAACGTGGGGGGCTGTACACAGGCGATAGTCTGTATTGTAATGAGATCCAGTTTTGGCGTATAGCAGGGGAGCTTTCTGAACCTCAGTGATTTCTTCAGAAAATGGAAATTATCTGTCTCTTTCAGACCCTGGGAGAAGGGATTCGTTTAAGAAACCAAACACAGTGTCTGACCCCGGTGGGAGTATGATAATTGGCACCTGTTTGGAATATTACTGCTAATGCCACAGTACATTTGGACAGCAGGATAACAGCACAGTTTCCATGTTTCCGAGTCCCCGCTACTTCAAAATTTTTCAACCCCAAGTATAGCCTGTTCCTATGCTTGGACCCTTTGGAGCCGAAGTAGATCACCAGCGTTAATGTGCCTCAGAATTCTTACAGAGCTTTTTAACAAGCACAGCAGATAGAGCCCACCCAGACCTACTTAAACCAGAGTCTCTGGAGTGGAACTTTTTCTAACCTTGTAACAAAGGTAATTGCAGTCACAGCTAGGGCAGAGAACTCAAGCTAGGAGCCAGTGAATTAAAGCATTGCATTTCCAGGCTTCCCCGTTAGAAGGCAAATGTCACCCAGGACAGGTAAAAATGAAGGCATAGCCAGACTTTCACACTGAAATACAGTCATTGGTGGGATTATTTGTTACCAGTCACAGAGACCAGGAGGAGATTCCTAGGATGTGTTAAAGGGAACATGGAGGCTGTGAGTGAAATCACTCAGTTGTGCCCTACTGTTTGCGACTCCATAGACTATAGCCTTCTAGGCTCCTCAGTCCACGGGATTTTCCAGGCAAGAATACTGGAGTGGGTTGCCATTTCCTTCTCCAGGGGATCTTCCCAACCCAGGGATCGAACCTGGGTCTCCCATGTTGGGGGCAGATGCTTTACCAGCTGAGCCACCAGCAAAGCTCCAATACAGCCTCATCTATCAAACGAGGTCACATTTCACAGAGGTGCTGATGGATTGAGTGACACGAGGGGTCAGCACTCCATACATCACATCTGCTTTCAGAGGATGGGCGAGGCAGGCGTGCTAGGAAGGGGTGACGGCAGGACACCCAGGCTGGATGGGGAGTGAGCCTGGCCTGTCTTCTGTAGGAGGGAGCTTTGTTCAGCAGGTTCATGATACAGGAGTGTCATGGAGAGAGGAGCCTGCAGTCTGCGGAGCCTGTGTGGTGGGGACAAAGGCAGAAACAGGCATAGAAATATGAGGCTCGCTGTTGTTCAGTCACCAAGTCATGTCCAACACTTTCGCAATTATAACCCATGAACTATAGGCCCCGGGCTCCTCCCTCCATGGGCTTCTCCAGGCAAGGATACTGGAGTGGGTTGCCATTCCCTTCTCCCGGCGATCTTCCTAATCCGAGATCAAACCCATGTCTCCTGCGCTGCAGGCGGACTCTTTACTGCTGACCACCAGGGAGACAGGATCTGCCCTGCAACTGTTCCCCACAGATTTCCAAAAAACAGCAAGCCTCAGGGCTCAGTGATTACAGGAGTTTCCTAGGCCCAGCATAACAAAGTACGCGAAAGGGTGGCTTAAACAACAAAGGGTATTCTCTCACAGTTCTGAAGGTCAGAAGTTCAAACTCAAGGGTCATGCTCCTCCTGAACACCCTAGGGAAGGGTCCACTCCATGCTGTTTTTGTGACTTCTGGTGGCCATGCATCCTCGGCCTTCCTTTAAAAAAAAAAAACAACTCATTTTACTGTTAAGATTGTCAATCATTTCTTGTGGCACCAAATTTTAAAAGTCAGCAGTTATTTGTAATTTCCTAAAAGTAGATTCAAGGTTCCTGGGTGAAGGTCATATTAATCTTTTTAAGTTTTATATCTATGCAGTTCAAAATTTTTCTAATTGGTGTATAGTTGCTTTTCATACTGTTCATGGGCAGTATGAAAAGCAACTATACCCCAATTTTTTAAAAAATTCAAGCTGTATAGGTATAAAACTTTTTTTAAAAAGCTACACTATCTTTTTTCTAGTAGTCATGTGTGGATGTGAAAGTTGGACACATTCTTTGGCTGAGCGCCAAAGAATCAATGCTTTTAATTGTGGCACTAGAGAAGGACTGATGCTGAAGCTGAAGCTCCAATACCTTGGGCACTTGATGGGAAGAGCCGACTTAATGGAAAAGACCTTGATGCTGGGAAAGATTAAGGGCAAGAGGAGAAGGAGGTGACAGAGGATGAGATGTTTGGATGGCATCACTGACTCAATGGACATGAGTCTGAGTAACCTCTGGGAGATAGAGAAGAACAGAGGAGCCTGCTGCAGTCCATGGGGTCGCAAAGAGTCAGACATGACTGAGGAACACACCACAGTTCTTTCAATGCTGTGTTGGCTTCTCCTGTGTATAGTACCGGGAGTTCAGCTCTGCGCTCCGTGGTGACCAAGATGGCGGGGGGAGGAGGTCCAAGAGAGAGGGGATGTATACACGCTTACAGCTGCTCCTCGGCCAGCCTCGGTTTGCAGATGCACACTTCCAGCCTCTGTGCCTGTCTTCACGTTCTCTCTGCATCTGTGTCCTCACACCGCCTGCTCAGGAGGACGCCATTCATTGGATTTAGGGCCAGTCCTAACCCAATGGGCTTCCTAAGTGGCTCAGTGATAAAGAATCCATCCGCCAATGCAGAAGATGGAAAGACACAAGTTCAATCCCCAGGTCGGGAGGATCCCCTGAAGGAGGAAAGGGCAACCCAGTCCAGTATCCTTCCCTGGCAAAGTTCGCAGGCAGAGAAGCCTGGCTGTCTACAGTCTGTGGGGCCACAAAGAGCCAGACACAACTGACCTTCTGAGCACTAACCCAGTGTGACCTCATCTCAACTAATTACATCTGCCAAGATGCTATTCTCAGATAAGCTCCCATGCTGAGGTTCTGTGTGGATGTGACTTTTTGTGCAACCCTATTCAACCTAGTCCAGGGATGATGATCACTGAAGACCCTTGTGACTTTTCTCCTCTGTCCTGTATCTGCACTGAACTATAATCTCTTGCTGGTTGTTCACAATATATAATAGCCAACTGTTTACAAGTCTATGTCCTACCAAATGGTGAGGTGTTGAGAGCAGAGCCCAAAATTTTGCTTTGTTTTTGTATTTTATTATTTGCTTGTTTGTTTTTTCTGGCCATGTGGCATGCAGGATTTTAGTTCCCTTACCAGAGATTGAACCTGTGCCCCCTGCAATGGAAGCTCAGAGCCCTAACCACTGGACCAAGAGGAAATTCTCCTGTTTGGGGTTTTTTACACCTTTCAGTATCCAGAGTGTAGCACGGGACCATGTTTATGACTGGCCTTCAGTAAACATGTATGAAATGTCATCGGGTTACAGTTATTTTTTGCAAGACTGACCCTTAGGATCTCTGCCCTTGAGGTTGTTAGAATCCAGGAGAATGTCTGAAGGCTTCTGGAGGCAAACAAACCAGGCCAGAGCTGAAAAACCACCTACCACGCTGCTACTTTGCCTTCAGGATTGGAAATGTCTAGCTGGTTTCTTGTCTGTTACTTGCACATTGTGGGACACATTTCCCCCATTCTGACCTCAGTTTCCCACAGTAAATGAGGGATTTGGACCATAGTCCCCAAATCCTTTCATCTCTAAGCTCCTTTATCTTTACGATCACACGGGTCACAATCAGCCAGAACTGAGGTTATTAAGAGAGAAGCATCGGAAGGACCAGTGAGGGAAGCTTCCTGAATGCATCAGCTTCCAATTCACTGTGACCAGCCTTTCCCTATTCAGCTGCGGTGTCTGCGGCTCAGGTGAGAAATCGCTCCCATTGCCTGGCAGGCCGTGAGCTGAAATTCCTCCAGTGAAGATTGCCAAGGTGCCCGAGAGCAATGATAAACACAATCTTCTCACTCCAACCCTCCATTTAGATCCGCTTCCCTTTTGAATCTCAATTGGTTACAGCAGGCTTTGGATTCCTTGCTGAGGAGGTGTTTGGCAAATCAAGAAAGGGCGAAGGCTCCCCAGAGAGGAGATTTTCCCCTAATATCAGAACCTTTCAAAATAGCAGGAGGAGCGAAGAATTGCAAATGGGCGACCAACCAGCTCCTCACCCGGTGAGAAGAGGTGGGACTGAATTTTCACCTTCAGGCAGCGGAAGATTTTCTTTCTTGAGAGCGACAACTTTTTTCTGAAGGAATATGGAACCAACGCGTTCTCCAGGAAGCCCTCCCTGGTCACGCCCTCCCGAGACTGGGGTACCGCGCTCTGTGTACCCGCTATTTCTGTCCTTAACTTTCAGGCTGAGCTCAACACACTGGGTCGCAACGTCTGTTTCTCCCCTTCCGCGCTCTGACACACAGAGCTCGTTTGCCCTTCCAAACCACTGCTCCGTGCATCTTGCCTTGGATTTTCCTGCAAAGAGATCTTGGAACAAGGTCCCGGAGGAAGGTAGCTCATCCAGAGGGTTACTGCAGGAAGCATTTGTGAGGAATGAGAAAAGTGAGAGAGTACAAGGAGAAACGTCAACAGGAGGGCGTGTTTATAGCTGGAGCCCTGTGCCGCTGCGGACCCCTGAAGAACCTCGTGGAATGAGTTTGAGAATTGACCCACTGAGGGCTGATGGTAAAGCTGCAGCACTTTTCTGTGGCTTCTCCTTCCCACTGGTGGCGAGTTTCCCATGGGAGGCAGTAAATGCGCTTCAGTTTTGGCTGCCTCGATGTCCAGCCAGAAGGGGGCGCTCTTGTGAAATCAGGAAAGCAAAGGTGGGGCGCACACAGGACCGCAGAAGGTGCTAGTGAGGGCGGTCAGGGTAGCCCCAAGGTCGGGGGGTGGGTGGGCAGGCGGTTGGTGGAGGGGGGCGCTCTCCAACCGCAACCCTGGTGCTGTTTGTTCACAGAATCTGGTCTGCCCCCGACCCCTGCCTCTTCATCCTTGTGTCAAGGGCACTGCTGAGGACTTCGTCGGTATCGTTGTGTTGAACTGAAGGAAGAGATTTCACTGGACACAGGACTCTCACCGAAGAAAGGGTCCATGGTGGGGTTCTGGGACATTTTCAAAGAGGCTCCAGAGTCAATCCAAAAGGGTCTCTTTAAACAACCACAGCTGACACTCCAGTAGCTGGCTCTCTGGCTGGCTGATGGGGGATTTCTGCCCCTCACAGGTTCTTTTAAAATTTAAATTATGTGCTGTAAGTCAGTGTTTCCAAAGTGTGTTCCAAGTAACAGATTAGATAAGAAAGGAGAGGGGCCATCCAGATAGCTCAGAAAACACTAATAAGGCCCCACTGAACAGTGGGAAATCCCAGATCTTAAGAGTTCATAGAAATGGTACTGATGAACCTGTCTGCAGGGCAGAAATGGAGACACAGACATGGAGAATGGACTTGTGGGCCCAGTGGAGGAAGCAGCGGGTGGGAGGAACTGAGAGCAGCGTTGGCATCTATCCCTTACCCTGTGCAAGTAGACAGCTAGTGGGGAGCTGCTTGCAGCGCAAGGAGCTCGGCTCTGGGCTCTGTGATGACCGAGAGGGTGGGAGGGGGTCTTGGGAAGGAGGCTCAAGAGGGAATGGATATGTGTGTACTGAGCAGCTGATTCACATTGTTCTACAGCAGAAACTAGCACAAAATTGTAAAGCAACTATACTTCAATTAAATTTTTTTTAATTAAAAAGAGTTTATAGCGAGGCCATAATGGGATTCAGCCTCATACACCATCCAGATCATCTCAAGCACACATGTTCTTCTACAGCTGCATTCTTGAAACAGCTCCCACTGTGGGAACAGGCCAGAGTGTACATTCCAAGGAATCGGGGGTGTGGTGGTGAGGAGCCTACAGTTGCCTTGGTCCAGCTTGCGGATCACATGGCAGCCGTCTCCTCTCCATGACCTCCCCGTCGTCAGATGTGATTTCCCTGCTCTTCTCAGTCTCAGGGATGGACACAACCCAGCATCTGACAAGATCCAGAAAGCAGTATCTGCAGCTAAGATGCAGGGTTCGTTTGCCACTCAGCAGAGCTGTCTAATACAGAGTGAGTCTTTCATCTCTTAACAGGGAAAAGAAGTGATTATGATGTTGAACCAAATAGCAAAAGGTGTTTCCTTGGAGTTCCTCTTGGAATTAGCTAGTCTTTGGAGAAAACTATTGCCTGAATTGGGATCCTAAATAATCAAAATTTTGCTCCAGTGACAGGAATAACATTTAGTGAGCACTTACTCTGTGGAAGCTTTGTGTACTTTGTCTTATGTTACCTTCTCAACAAAACTCCTCGGGAAGTATTTCTAGTCTCGTTTACAGAAGAAGAAACTGAAGTCAGAGAGTTTAACTGACTTTTTCAAGGTCAAACAAAGGATAACCAGGATTTGAAACAGGCCTGGAATTCAAACAAAATCTGTATTCTTTCCCTCATATCATCCTAGAGTAGCAATCATCAGCTACTGGAGATGCTAACAAAGGCTTCCTTTGAGGGGCCTGTAATGAGGTACATTCAGCACAAAAGGCATCTCCCTCCTGACACCATTAAAATGTTTCTCACAAAACAACTTAGTAAAAAAGATTCCCCTCATCTCCTCAAATTATTGAAAATATTTCTCCCAACCAAAATGAGAAAAATTCTTCTTGGATTTTTTTTTTTAAATAATTGGGTCTTTGAGTACTTCCCCAGTGATGTCATGTTGAAACAAATGATCTTTGAATTTGATCAGACAGGAAAATAAGGAAGCATCGCTGAGACTCTCGATGATCCTGGAAACATCCGCTCATGGATAACAATTCCTACTCACTGATGCAGCTGTGATTCTAGTCTTTTAAAAGATGCCCTGCTGACCATCAGCTTAAAGGGGACTCAGTCAATCAGTAAAGGTTTCCAGGAAGACTTCCGTGTGCTAAACACCATGCTGGGTACAGAGGACAGTTTATATACTGATACATTATCTTCTTTGTCATAATTATACCAGCTGTTGTTGTTCAGTGGCTAAGTCATGTCCAACTGCTTGTGACCCCCATGAACTGCAGCATGCTAGGCTTCCCTGTCCTTCACTATCTCCTGGAGTTTGCTAGAACTCATGTCCTTTGAGTCAGTGATGCCATCCAACCATCTCATCCTTTGTCACCCTCTTCTCCCACCTTCAATCTTTCCCAGCATCAGGATCTTTTCCAATGAGTCAGCTCTTTGCATCAAGTGGTCAAAGTATTAGAGCTTCAGCTTCAGCATCAGTCCTTCTAACGAATATTCAGGGTTGATTTTGTTTAGGATTCCACAGGCATTTATTACAGATCTGGAGGCTGTGAGCTAGGGTGCTGATGTGGTCAGGTCCAGGCCAGGACTGGCTTCCTGAGGCACAGGTGCTCACTAGCTTGCTGTGTCCACATGTGGTCTTCCCTCAGGTGTGTGTAGAGAGACACAGAGTGAGCTCTGGTGCCTCTTTCTTCTAAGGGCACTAATCTCTTCATGGAGGCCCCACCCTCATGACCAATTACTTGTCTAAGGTGGGACCTCCACCTTCAAACATCATCACCTTGGAGGTTAAGGCTTCAACTTAGAAAGTTGGGGAACAGAGGTGATCAATCTATAAAGCATGGGCAGTTCAGGAGCATCTCCTCTCCCCTTCTACCCTCTTACCTCTCCTTCTCATTCAGAAGACCTGAGTGTCCTCTGTGGGCAAGACAGTCTTGTATATGCTGCAGACAGTACCAGGGACAGGAAAGAAGTAGCCTTCATATCTGTGGACCTTCTGCTTCCAAGATTCTCCTCCAGGAAAACTTCCTTACTTAACCCTCTTTTCTCGGATCTTCCTTTAGCTGATTCTCCTTTGTATCCTTTTTAAAAATGTTTTATTTATTTGACTGCACTGGGTCTGTGTTGCTGTGCATGGGCTTTCTCCAGTTGCGAACAGGGGCTACTCTCCAGTTGTGATGTGTGGGCCTCTCATTGTAGTGGCTTCTCTTGTTGCAGAGCACAGGCTCTAGAGCTCACAGGCTGAGTAGTTGCAGAACCCCGGCTTAGTTGCCCTGAGACATGTGCGAACTTCCTGGACCAGGGATTGAACACATGTCCCCTGCACTGGCAGGTGGATTCTTAACCACTGGGCCACCACGGGAGTTCTCTTTGATCCTGCTCCTCTCTCAGGAAAAACCTCTTGAGCATACATTCTTCTGTATATGTATTACTTATTTACAAATTACATGCATATTCTAATATATAGTGTATACTATAACAATACAGGTATCCCCCATGGTCCAAAACCTTTCATGAGCCAAAGTGGCGTAAAGAGAAAAAGCAATGATCTTAAGATGCATGTTGCTCACGAATGCACAAAACGAATGGAGATAAAGCACAGATGCTCACAGACACAGCTCAAAGCCGTGGTGGCTCCATGCTGAGATGCTGAGTGTGGTTCCTGGGGAAGCAGCTCTCTGCTCTGGATGCTCACTCCTTCTGTAGTGGCAGCTGCAAATAACACTGAATGCAATTATTGATTTCTTCCAATTATCAAAGACAAGTCCTAATGTGGGTTTACACAGACAAGGGCCACACTCAATTTGAAATGTTAATTCTGACTTGTTCCTTTGAAAGTTAGTCTTTTATCTCTTTCAATAATTTTTAGGACAGTTGTAGATTTATGGAATCATTACAAAGATAGTACAGTTTCTGTACACCCCACACCCCGTACCCCCTTATCAGTAGTATGTCACATTAGTATGGTGCATTTGTCACATGAGTTTATATTGGTTTGTTGTTATTTACCGAAGTACATACTTTATTCAGATTTCCTCAGTTTTTCCCTAATGTACTCTTTCTCTTCCAGAATCCCACCCAGGGTGCCACCTAACATTTAGTCAAATGTCTCCTTAGGCACCTGTTGTCTATGACAGTTTTAAAGACTTTATTTTTTTAATAAAATTCTTTAATGATTTTTAAAAAGCAGGTGATATAAAGCAAACTGTCAAAAAGGGGGAGGGGATAATTATTTATAAAGCATCCATTTTTGATAACAGAGTAAAAAGTTGAGGGAAGAGAAGTGCTGGGTGATTTCCCAACACTGCGATGACATGAACACATAGTATGAACACAGCCTTCTTTGGATCCTCTGGTCCTCACAGGGACCCACTTCACTGAGCCCCCTGAGAGCTCTCACTCATCCTTGTGGAGCTGACTCTTTAAAACCTGTCTGTCTCCCCATGTTGAAGACTGCCTCATCCATCTCTGTGTCCCAATCACAGAGGGGATTCTTCTGTAGACTTGTATGGAAATACACACACACACAAATGAGGCATTGATACTGTTGGCAATGAATATGATCACAATTCCAAGAGTGGGAGGAGAGGACAATTCTCTTCTTAGGTCTTCCCACAGTTCCTTCATTGGATCGTCCAAGGTTCTAGATCTTGAAACCAATGTCAACTGAATCATGTGACCTGACAAAATGAGTGTTAAATGGTGTTGAGGGTTTGCTGACATCAGGCACGGTACTAAGTACTCTAATGATGCTTCCATAACCTTGCCAACAGCCTCACAAGCCTGCTGTACCCCACTCTGCAGAAAAGAGAACATGAACGCGGTAAGCAATTTTCCCAAGGTCACAAAGGTAGAGCTAGAGGTAGAAATAAGACCCGCCTCCAAGAACAGCCTTTTTAATCACTGCTGCTGCTACTGCTAAATACACCAAGTCAATTCCCAAAGGACTCTCCCATAAGCCCTGCGTCAATACATGAATGTGCATCTGTAGAAGGAAGACTTTGTCCTGATGTATGACTGTTTTAAGCACGTCTCCATCATGCGGTATTTTCCCATCTGGGAAATGACGGAATGGTGGAGTTACTGAGTATTCTAGTATGTGTTGCCTGGAAAGCACCTATATCCCAGATATTCGGTTTTGTTGCTCCTTACCTCAAGGTGACCCAACTTAGCTCAAGGTGGTCTTAGAGCCACGCCTCAGACTGAGACCCACTGACTGCCATACCACCATCTCCCTCATACCACACCGCTCTGCCCCCTTGAAAAACTATGAAGTATTATTATTGCCCAAATCCTATCCTGAAATTGCTCTGAGAGATAGGGCACTCAGAAAGACACTCTTGCAGCCGCTGACCTTTAGCTCGTCTCCTCCAACTGTGACCCAATCAGGCATAATGAGTTTAGAGCAGGCTTGGAATTGTTTTCTTCTCTCTGCTTTTCTTCTCTGCCAGCCTTTATCGGTACTTTAGCAGAAGGCTGTTTTTCCTTCTGCACTTATTTATATTTAGCCTGAGCATCCTGTTAATTACAGAGCAGTTAAAGGAGAATTAGGGACACTATATATAAATTTGCCATTTATGCAAATTGCAAAGAGAGAACAAAGAAAAATTAGCTTAATTAGTGTAATTGCTAAAAAAGCGGGAGGCGAGGCAAACAGAGCTTTAATCAAAGAAGAGGCAAAGGAAGTCTCAAGGAAATGGTGACCCAAATCAGCACAGATTGGAGAGTTCTGACCTTTCAAGATTTCAAGACCTTGCTGAGGCGTAGGGATGACAGGAGGCCACGGAGGGGAGGGGCAGAGAGTTCTTAGTATAAAGACACCAAGTGGTTGCTTAAGACATGAAATAAGACCCTTGCACTTGGAAAGTTATTGATATTCCCATTAGTGTGGGTACCTGGTGGAGGGCTTGAAATATTGCAAGACCGTCCGCCGGCAAAAGGATTACAATTCCTGAAAGCTCAGATCATGGTTAGCATTTTTTATCCTTAAACTATTTTTTTATCAAAGTATGTACATTGATTTTTCAGACATGATGTTACTGCACACTTAACAGACTTCATGTGCACGTGCATGCTAAGTCACTTCATTTGTGTTCAACTCTCGGTGACCCTTATAAACTGTAGCCCACCAGGCTCCTCTGTCCATGGGATTCTCCAGGCAAGAATACTGGAGTGGGTTGCCGTGCCCTCCTCCAGGGGATCTTCCTGACTCAGGGATTGAACCCGCATCTCTCCGGCATTGCCAGGCAGGTTCTTTACCACTAGGGCCACCTGGGAAGCAGTATCACTTATACAAAACTCTCACATGCACTAGGAATTCAAAATCTTCATGTGATTCATTTTATTGTGATGTTCACTTTCTTGTGATGGTCTGGAACCACACTTGAAATATCTTCGAGACATACCTGTAAAAATATGGGCAACCCAGTTAAATTTTAACTTGAGACAAGCAACAAATGTATTTTTAGTGTAAGTATGCCCCATGACATTTGGGGAGATTATTTATACTAAAAAACGAAAAAGGAATTTGTTGTTCATCTGGAATTCAAGCTAATTGAGCATCCTGTATTTATTTTTCTGGCAACCCTCCTGGGGAGGTACACAGGAGCAGTCCTTCCTGTGTCTCCCCAGGACCACAGGAAAATTCAGGACTTCCTGTGAGGCAGAAAACTGTTCCCTGGCCAAGTGCAAGTCCCTTCAGCCTGGCATCATAGCAACAGAGAGGCAGAGAGAGAGACTATGAATGAGAAGAGTCTACGCCCCTGGTGGGGTTAGTGGAGGGGATGAGGACTCCAGGAAACACTGGACACTTCATTTCTGCATGCTGACATCTTACCCCCACTGCCCAGATCTTCGGTAAAACTGCCAGATACATAAATGTCTGTGAACCTTAGGGGTTCTGTGTTCCAGGGAAATCAAGGAGAGGGCAGTCACTCTACATCTGGGCAGATACGCTCTGCTCTACTCTAAGACTGCGACTTTAACCCACTGAATCCTCACAAGAACCCACCTGAGGCAGACTGTATTGCCCCCACTTTGCAGATGCAAAATCAGGCACATGGAAGCTAAGGGCCTCCAGAGAAAGTGGTCAATAACTGCAAGCTGGGATTTTACCCAGGCATCTGGCTCCAGAGACTGTCCTCTGCCACCTGCCACATGGGAACTGCCGGCCAACACCAGGATAACCAAGTGAAAACCTGATCAGTCATTCACCTCTTTTGCTTTGAAAATAGCAAATCTATCTACAGTAGACTACATTGTAGTCTAGTGAAAAAAAAGGGAGCTCAAAGACTCATGTTCGCTTTCTTCTCTCTTTAATTAACCAGTTAATTAATTTGACGGCACCGAGTCTTAGCTGCGGCACGTGGACTCAGTAGTTGCGGCTCGAAGGCTTAGTTCCTCTGCAGCAAGTAGGTTCTTAGTCCCCTGACCAGGAATGGAACATGCATCCTCTGCATTTCAAGGCAGATTCTAAACCACTGGACCACCAGGGAAGCCCACCACGTTTGATTTCTAACTCTGTCCTTGGTAGCTCAACCATATAAACATCCAAACCCAGACTATACATTGTAGGAGCTCAGGTTTTCCACTCTGGTTTCCGCAGTAATGACTGCAGTGGTTGTACCCAGCTATCTAGCCAGAGTAATAGCAGCTATCAAGCTGTAATTAATCCCAGCTTGGAGAGGGTCTTAATGCAGGAATTTATAAAGGTAAATAGAACATGATCTGTGTGTTCAGTTACACAGTCATGTCTGACTCTTTGTGGGCCCCATGGACTGTAGCCCGCCAGGATCCTCTGTCCATGGAATTTTCCAGGCAAGAATACTGGAGGAGGTTGCCATTTCCTACTTCAGGTGATCTTTCCAATTCAGCATCCAACCCACATTTCTTGCGGCTCCTGCATTAGCAGGCAGATTCTTTACCGCTGCACCATCCGGGAAGCCCAAATAAACATGGAGACAGGCTGAACCCACCCAGTATAATTAGATATCTGTCCTTCAGAATAGAATATACAGTTCTATTCTATTTAATGGATAGAACTGTATGTTGTTTATCTTGCCCATTTACATGCGGGACCAGAGTGGGACCTGATACCTGCCTTCCTTGCTGGTTACTGCTAATTCTTGTTGTTTAGTCGCTCAGTCATGTCTGACTCTTTGCAACCCCATGGACTGCAGCACACCAGACTTCCCTGTCCTTCACTATCTCCCAGAGTTTGTTCAACCTCATTCCATTGAGTCCGTGATGCCATCTAACCATCTCATCCTCATAGCCAACAAACAAATGAAAAAATACATAAAAATTATTTAGAAGAGTTGGTTGGATCCAGCTTTTTTGACTCTCATGCAGGATGTCTGTTTCTGGTATGTGTAAACTTAATGTAGGTCACAGCAGGTTCCCAGTGTTTGCTCCTGCACAGGCCAAAGTTATAGTGTTCGTACACTGATCCTCCCCCATCAGCCCTGGACAGAGCAGAATGTTTTCTTGATTGAGGTCAGATCACAAAAGCTGTTCTGGAATCAAGAACTGGCAAGAGGGATGGCTCTTCTGGGGCCAGGTTCACTTTCAACAGTCCATGTTGACTCAGGAGGAGGAGTTGGCACTTTCCTGGAGTCTCTCAGGGAAGCTTCAGTGAAGAAAATACCCACAGAATTGGGGTAAGGTGATGCATGGGCCAGAGGGATACAACTACTTAACATTTCAAACCTTCTTTGATCTGCTTTCCTCTTTTCATTAGGGATTTCTTTTACAAGAAACAGAAACATATAAATAGTAAAACCAAACCAAAAAAAGAGTTGAAAAAGTAGGAGTGAGTTCTGTTGGCATGTAAGGGCTAAAGCTACAGCTCAGACTCATAAGGGACTGGAAGAAAAAAAACCTGGGTTATTCTATTTCTCTGGGTCATCACGATATCCTTCTCTGGCTTTCTTGGTTGAGCAGCAGAAATAGTCACCATGGATCCACATGTTCTCACGATGCATGTGTCCAACACTCCCTAACTATTTTTGTACCACATAGTCCAAAGTATTGAGAAAAACGTGAGAGAGAGAAATAGAGACAGAGAGATCAGCTGAAACCAGCTATGACTTGCTTTCTCTGGGGTCATTTGCCACCCTTGGTCCAACCATCTGTGGCCAGAAAAGAATGATCTCCAGTACAAACAAGGTAACTGGGGCCGTAGGAAGTGACTTTCCAAGATGGATCTACCTGGGGAAGGACGGGTGACTCAGCTACTGCAGTTCCCCTTTACCTTTATCCCCTTGGATGACATCTTGATAACGCTTGACGTTTCTGTAATACCTGACTCTCTTTACCTGAGGAATTAGATATCTCAGACTTGCATCACCAATTTACCTTGCAGCCCCTTTGGCCCCCTTTTAAGGTGATGACACCCTGAAACAGCCCAAGAGTGTTTGTTTTGCTCGGAATGTGCCTTTCCTGTGTGTTCTGTCCAACGACATCAAAAATTCCATTTTGTCTCAGGGTGTTTTGCTGTCTCCTTTTGTGATTGGGGCACATGATTAAGTTTGAGGTTCCTCATTTTTCTTGCTGGGCTTATTTAATAGGATTCACTTGAAGGACAAGGATGAATTCAAGCAGAACCTTTGGTGCCACAAAGTAGCACGGAAACCCAACACTAATTGTTGGGCTCCATAGAGAAGGGGAATGTGTCTACAGGAGACACATTATGGATGCAGTTCCTCAAAAAGAGAAGCAGCAAATGCTCCTGTCTTCTCATCACTATCAGTAACTATCTTTATGGTTGATGTTGTTGTTTAGTCACTCAGTTGTGTCTGACTGTTTGTGACCCCGTGGACTGAAGCCCGCCAGGCTCCTCTGTCCATGGGATTCCCCAGGCAAGAATACTGAAGTGGGTTACCATTTCCTTCCCCAGGGGACCTTCCTGACCCAGGGATTGAACCCGTGTCTCCTGTTTAGCAGGCAGATTCTTTACCATTGAACCACTTGGGAAGCCTGAGATGAGTTCTGAAAACAGCACAGTTTAGGGACTTAGAGTGCATTCCAAGCCCCCGGGAGTTCATGTACTCAGGGAAGGAAGGTGTGGACACGGATGACCACAGAGCAGGAAATACTTGGAGCATTTTGAGTGACCCCCAAGGGAAAAAGTGTCATGGAGGAGTCTTAAAATGAGCTCATTGAAAGCACATTGCTGTGTTTGGTGGGCTGCAGCCAAAGGACAGCATGTCCCACCAACTCAAACACAAGAGGCACTGGCTCACAGAGCACATTCTGATGGTGCTAAACGATACTTACAGAATGAAGTTTCTCTAAAGACATCCTGCTCTTGCTGTAGAATGAGACGTGCAGAGGAAGAGAAGGGAGGGGCTGGTCTTTTTGTGGGGAATCGCACAATTGGATGGAAGGGGATGTCCACTCACAGTTCAGTCCAGTTCAGTCGCTCAGTTGTGTCTGATTCTCTGTGACCCTATGGACTGCAGCACACCAGGCTTCCCTGTCCATCACCAACTCCCAGAGTCCACTCAAACTCATGTCCATTGGGTCGCGGGTGCCATCCAACCATCTCATCCTCTGTCATCCCCTTCTCCTCCTGCCTTCAATCTTTCCCAGCATCGGGGTCTTTTCAAATGAGTCAGTTCTTCCCATCAGGTGGCCAAAGTATTGGAGTTTCAGCTTCAGCATCAGTCCTTCCAATGAATATTCAGGACTGATCTCCTTCAGGATGGACTGGTTGGATCTCCTTGCTGTCCAAAGGACTCTCAAGAGTCTTCTCCAACACCACAGTTCAAAAGCATCAATTCTTTAGAGTTCAGCTTTCTTTATGGTCCAACTCTCATATCCATACACGACTACTGGAAAAACCATAGCTTTGACTATATGGACATTTGTTGGCAAAGTAATGTCTCTGCTTTTTAATATGCTGTCTAGGTTGGTCATAGCTTTTCTTCTACAGAGCAAATATCTTTTAATTTCAGGCTGCAGTCACCATCTGCAGTGATTTTGGAGCCCAAGAAAATAAAGCCTGTCACTGTTTCCATTGTTTCCCATCTATTTGCCATGAAGTGATGGGACCGTGTGCCACAATTTTAGCGTTCTGATTGTTGAGATTTTTCACTCTCCTCTTTCACTTTCATCAAGAGGCTCTTTAGTTCCTCTTCACTACTACTCACAGGCAGATGAAAAAGCTTACAGAACTTTCTGAACTACAAGGGATGGGCTTCACATTCCAAGTTCCTTAGTTAGGAACAGCAGGGCTGCTAAGAAAGAGGATGTTTAAGTCAGGTTTGGGGAGATAAGGAGACTATTCCAGGGATCTATAACTGTTGTGGCAAAGGTGACCCCTTCCTGGGCCTGAGACTAGGCTCTTGCCCAACATTCAGAAATGAATTGTCCAAGGAGACATACATGCTGACAAAGCAAGAAACTTTACCGGGCAGGGGCACCCTGGCAGAGAGCAGCAGAGTCGGGGAACCCAGAAGGACTGCTCTGCCACGTGGCTTCAAGTCTCGGGTGGTCTGGTGATGGGGTTAGTTTCTGAGTTGTCTCTGGCTCATCATTCTGACTCAGGGTCCTTCCTGGTAGCACACACATGGCTCAGCCAAGGTGGATGCCAGTGAGAAGGATTCTGGAAGGTTGGAAGGACATATGGACCGGTGTTTCCTTTTGACTTTTCTGAAATTCTCCAGATTGGTTGTGGTTTGTTAGTTCTGTGTCCCTTACCAGGCATGCATGCATGCTCAGTCACTTCGGTCATATCCGACTCTTTGCGACCCATGGACTGTAGCCCGCCAGGCTCCTCTGTTCATGAGATTCTCCAGGTAAGAATACTGGAGTGGGTAGCCATTTCCTCCTCCAGGGAATCTTGCCGACCCAGGGATGGAACCCATGTCTCCTGCATTGCAGGCGGATTCTTTACCAGCTGAGCCACAAGGGAAGCCCTAACATAACTGCCTAACAAATTACCACCAAAATTCATGGGCTAATGTAAAAATGTATTATTGTATTTCTCTTGGTTCTGTGGGCTGACTGGGCTGGCCCGGATGGTTCTGATGTGGATGCCCTTGGGACAGCAGGCAGATAGATGGTGGCCAGGGATGCAGTCCTCTGAAGTTTGGATGTCCAGGTTGACTCACTCCATGGCCCGCGGTGTTGCTGGCTGTCGGCTTGGAGCTCAGCAGCGGTTCTCAAACTGCATACCTGCACATGGATTCTTTATGTTCCTTGGGCTTCTCAGCTGGTGGATGGGTTTTGAGAATGTTCCATGAGAAAGAGTTCAAGGCTTCTTATGCCCTGACTTTAGAAGGCCCACCAGGTCAGTTCTACTGATGAAGTTCAACCTTCTTTGTGTGAGGTAGAGGGGTGCATTTGGGGCAGACAAGGATGAAATGGTACAGCCTGTGCCTTTGGGAAGCTGAGAATTAATCATGAGAATAGATGTGTGATTTCATATCTGGGATTAACTGAGTCAAATGCTCTGATAAATCCCTTACTAGGTCTTGGTGGGGGCACTAAAGGAAAAAGCAATTTAGGAGGAAATCAGAGTGGGCTTCATAAAGAAGGTGTCAGGTCACACAAGGGCAGGAAAGGGAAGCTACTGTTTGTCCTGGACAGTGTGTGTTTGTGTGTGTGTGTTTATGTAGAGAGGAAAGAGATGAGGGAGAGTATTTGGCAATTCAAAAGTGAGAAAACAGCAGAATGAAACAAACCAAACAGTCTGATGCCTTCTGAGAACTGTAAACTACGCAGCAGAAAACTCACAGAGGGCTGGATTGTACAGGGTGCTAATGTAAATCATCTGAAAGGATTGACTGAATAAGGAAGCTTAGCAACAAAGTCAAACTTTCTGCAGCACTTCTTAGATTTTATAATATGCTTTTATGTATTTTGAATTTGGGCCAATTTTGTGGGATGGTGGGCGAGCCAAGAGTATAAAATATTTCCCGAACATTTTTTTTTTAAAGGCAAATATGCAAGTAGGGCTGGCATTGTCTGGATGGTAATTTGGGAAATGTTGGTTTTGTGCAAAGAAGGTAGTACGGCAAATGAGGGTACTGCAGTTATTGGTGGAAGTTTGGCCTTTATCTTCAGGACTATTTACAAATATTTACTGAACATCTACTACATCCTAGGCAATCTTAATGGCACTCGGAATCTCTCAGTGAACAAGGCAGGAAAAAGTCCCTGTCCCTGTGTAGCTTACCTTCTCCCTGAAAGAGACAGATGTTAAACAAGATAAATAGGAGTGATATATGTCTCATATAATAAAATAATATATGAGATGGTTAGATAGCATCTCTGACTCAATGAACACGAATTTAAGCAAACTCCAGGAGATAATGGAGGACAGAAGAGCCTGTGTGTGCCACAGTCCACAGGGTTGCAAAGAGTGGGACACGACCTAGCAACTGAACAACAGCAGTACAGATTATTAAGTGGTGATAAACACCATAGATAAAAAGTAAAACTGAGAGGGAGGAAAAGGGAGATGGGGATTTTATACCAGCTGGTCACTGAGAAATGACATGTGACTAAAGACTCAAAGGATGGTGCCCAGTTCTGAGAATCCCTCTGGAGGCAGAGGACTCTGGCACATTGAAGGAAGAGAAAGGGGACCGATAGGACCAGGTGGGGTGATTCTGGGGGAGGGTCCAGGAAGATGAGGTCCACTCAAGATAATTAGATTGTAGAGGGCCTGCAGGACCCCCAGGCCTTTTGCTTTTATCCTGAGTTAAAAGTGAAGCTCTTAGAGGGCTTTGCCCAATGGAGTGATGAGATGGGCTTACTTGTCAAAGGACCTCTCCTGCTAATCTGCAGAAAATAGAACTAAAGGGGCAGAAGCAGAAACAGGGGACTCATTAGAAGGCTCTTGCATCAATCCGTGTGAACTGTCTCAGGGGCTTGTACCAGAGAGGGAGCAGAAGTGTCCGTGAGAACTGATTGGATTCTGGGTATATTTTGAAGATGGAGCCAATAGGATTGGTTGGTAGCTAGAATGTGGAATAAGAGAATCAGAAAGAGGAATCAAGATAATGATTTCAAGGTTTTGGGTTGAGCCACTGGAAAGATGGAATTCCTATACCTGAGCCCGGGAGACTTTCAGGAGAAACAAGTTTGAGGAAGAAGATGAGAAGTTAGATGTTATAGGAGTGAGTTCAGGGAACCTACAGACACCAAAGCAAGAACATGGTGTGATTGGATTAGCCCCTGAGGAAAAACAAGCTATGCCACGCTGGCAGCCTTAGAGAGGATGGATTAGAGAGGAAGGATGATAGGAGGAGATGCTCCAGGAATAGGGGAGGCATGTCAGAAACTGAAACAAAAATCCAGAAAACTGATGATAAACTGGTCTAGAGCAGTAGGTTGAGAACAGTCAGAGAGGTTTAGATTCAAAGAGGCAGGGACAAGGAAAGAAAGGAGAGAAAAA